TAGCACAGTGGTTAAAGAAGATTGTTAATATATAAGCATAAATTACATATTTAATTGAATTAAGTAATTATCATGGTTTTAGTATAGGAATATACGCTTTAATTGGCATATTTATACCATAAAAATACTTTATATAATAAGAAGGCTTTAAATAAATTACCCAAGTCCTTAAATCTTAAACCCTTTGTGTACTTTTAAAGATGCTTTTTTTTAATTTCCAATATTTGCCATGCTTTTACTCAATTTTCACCCCTTTTTCCAATTTCCCACTGTGCCGGAAACGGTCGTTCTTCTTCTCTCGACAGCAACGCCCTTTTGCTGTTCCCTTTTTGGTTTCTGTTGCTGTTTCTGTTTCTGAATTTCCTCAACTCAGTATGGAGGCCCTGATGAAAAGCCACTTACGCACAATTTTCACAACTCAAAAGCATTTTATTGATTGCACTTTAAGAACGCCAGGCTGAGGTTGAGGGCCAGGCGTAACACTCATACGCCACGTTGCCGCTGCCATAACATACTCGGCTCAGAGCTCAGTAGTATGCTGTGTGTGCGTGTGAGTTGGGTGCGTTTATTGACTGTCGTTTTTGAAATTGAGTTTTTCTGGCTCTTAGATTGGCCTCACTACCACATCCTGCACAAAAAAACTTGGTTAAACTTTGGGGTCCTTCCACGTCGCTGCTGCAAAGGCAATTTAGCCCTCGAGGCTTCAGAGTCTGCTTTGGCTTCAGCCAGATGTATATGCAAATGTGTGCCCGAGAAATCAAAGTCGCTTTTGCTCATTTTTTTCCCCTCAGCTCTTCTCGGTTAGATAACACATTTGAGTACGTATTTTCCGGGCTCTCCTTGCCCCTCGGGGTTAATTGTGCGAGAAGGCTAATGAACATGGAGCCCATGGGCGGCAGCTGACAGCTGCGTTTGAGCCTTGGCTTGTTAATTGTTTTTGAAATCGCTGAGTGAACATTAATAAGATGTAAATTTGAGGAAAACTAGAAAAGTCGCGGGGCTGGAGGTTTTTTTAATTGGAATTTCGGGGGTTGTTGTTCGACATCAGTCCTATGAATTATGAGTGGGGCCGGCTTTAATTGGTAGCAAGAATAACTTTGATTGTTAATTCATTTCGTAATTGAAGGGTAATAGATTGTTAATTGGTTAGAAGAAAGGATATTTGTAGGGTTATGTTATAAATAATATATTTAAAGGGTATATGGTATAAGGTATAAGGGTATATGACTGAGATATTTGCTCTGTTAATAACTTGGCTGTTAATTAATTAAAGTTTCCGACAATGTCACATTTCCCAGCCTATTCTCACATTTTCCCCATGTTGTCAATAAAGTAATTTATGGGAAATCAAGCCATCTCCAGCTTCGATCTATCATTGGCCCTATATGGCTGTGCATTGTTTGCAAATCGCTTAATTATTGTTGCTGGTATTTTATTGGGTCATGGAGCCATAAAAGGCGTCCACAACGGCCACGGTTCCTTTTTCGGGGCCTACATCAATGGCGGTCGTCTCCGTTTTCATCTCCCCAAATCCCCATCCACTTCCTTTTTGCCTGAATGTCACATTCTCCTAGTTGCCACGACCTAAAAGCATAAATTTCCCGTGGCTAGGCCAAAATCAACGCCAAATGCTCTAAACGTTTTGCTTATGATTTTTATTGCACGCACACAAGCCAGAAACTTATTCAGATATACGTATATACACTTCTATATATATATATATATATATATATATCTAGAAATTGCTGCTTCCTTTTTCATATACAAAACTGTGTAGACATTTTGCCGCAGCCTTAAGTGCGAAAGCTGCAAAAAGGGAAAAAATAAGGCTACCCCTGCCGATGACTTGTTTATGGCAGACGACAGCCACGCCCCTTTTATATTTTATATTTTTTTGGTTTTCCTATATGGAAGGAAAGCACTTGGTTTATTTCATTAGGTTTCCTTTGATGAGCCGTTCTACATATTTTTGCATTATTTACAGGAGAATTTTTGAGTGAAGCTGTTTTGCACGCAATATTATAGCATACTTTTTTGGGCAAAGTCAGAGATACCTTAAAATAATGCTTAAAATGCTCTTATTTTAGTTATATTCACAAAATATATTAGTTTTTTACAAAAACTCATGCTTTTATTATTTCAAATAGTCTTTAATATTTAAAAAAATATTAAATGAAGGCAAGTTCTTGAAAAAAATTAAGAGTAATAACCATTACCATTAGGGGTTTGAGAATATTTACGTATGTATTTTTAGATTTATTGATAAATTCGTTCAAATATGAGGGGCTTTATTAATAATTAATGTGTTTTTCTCACCTTTATTGGCATGTCGTTATATCTATTCTTTACGCCAGGCAGCCTTGCAAATGGAAATCCCATTATATATAGATAAAATCGGAACTGCACGTGAAAATGGGAGCAGGACTGTAAATTAACTTTAAGTTATGCTGAGTATCTGCCATTCGTGGCTTCAATTTGGTGGCCTTATCTCGGCGCTTTCTTTTTTCCTGTTGGCACTTGCCAAACAATGTCAGTTTTCAACTTTTAGCGCATTTTTCAAATTAGGTTAGCGGAGCAGTGGCGTGAGGATGGAGAAAGGAGGAAGGAGGATGTTTGGAGGTCGCAGGAGGATGTTAGAATGTAAGAATGTTAGGGTGTGATGGTGTTGGCCCCAGTGAAAGTTTTCTTATTGTTTCGGGGCGGAAGGGAAAGGGCTTGGCTTGGCTTTGCTTGGCTCGGCGGCGGTAGGCTTGTTAGCATCCTTCCTTCCTGTGCTTCCTGCACACACAAAAAAAAGCCCACCATCTGCTGCCCGTTTAACCTTAATGTTTTGGGCTAACCCAGAACCGCACCCCTGACACCCACGTACCCCTGGCAAGTACACAGAAAGAAATGGGTTTGGCATTGAAAATGATATACAAATAACATTTATGTCTAAAGCTCTAAATACAATTTAAATTCTGAAATATAAAAAGTAATTTATTGTGATTTTCATAATTAAAATTATATTCAAGAAAACAACTCAAAATATCTCTATTTAAAAAACAGTAAATTATCTTTAGGTTTACTTAAACCCATATTTTTATTATGTATTCAGCTTTTAAAAATAGCAAAAACATACATAAATTATTCCAAAACTCATTTTAAAACGTTGGGAATCCCTTTTTTTCGGCGATTTAACATCTGCGCACTGTTTTATTTTGATGTGCACTTATTTTTCAATTCGTGCGCGTGAGCATCCTTCGTCCTGTCAGTTTCGCGTCACATCCACACCCATCCCAGACGAAGGGACTTGGCACTTGAACGTCATCTCGGAGAATTATCAGCGACTGCGTCAGCATCTAAATATAATGCCCACCTTCTCGGCGTGAAGCCCCGTTTGGCCTTTGTTCTTGCCCATCTCTTGGCCATTCGTAGTTGGCCAGGCTTTATGCTCGCTTTTTATGCCAACACGCACCGTTGAGCAATTGTTGTTCCCAGCAGCAGCAGAAGCAGTATGCTTTTAGTGCTGTCCTAATGAAATTTTTAAACGATTTCGTTTCCCTTCACGGCCAGCAAGAGATTGAAGAGTGTGAATTGCCAGCGAAGCTGTAAGGAAAATTCCCGTGGAGATTATTTGTAGCTTTCTGTCTGCCAGTCTTGAGCTAAGAAATGGTTACAAGGTTGGATTTAATTGGATTTAATTTACTCGACACACAGAGAGCTAGCAAACAAGAGCAAGTATAAACAGATTTTTTTTAAAGTTTAGTAATTTTTGGGGATTTTGTTTCACACTGAGTTTGTTGTTTTTAGGTAAACTTTGAATTTAAATAAATGTTTGTAAGCCAAAATTAAACAATGCTTTTATAAATTGTTAATGAAGGAAATAAATGAAACAAGCCCGAGATTTGTTTACAAAAAGTTTGAATTTATAATTTTTTATGAAGCTATTACACTACGTTGTTGCTTTTATTGTTAGCAAACTGTGCAAACATATGAGAGAAAATTATAAATAAATTATTTATGAGCAAACAAATGAATATATTTCGTCGAAATGTTCATAAATAAAGTTTGAATCTGTACATTCTTTATGAGGTTCAAGCGTTTTAAGAAAATCGAAATAAATTAATCTAGAAATCTGTATACATTGAGTTTGCATAGTAATTTTATATGGGGTATGACACTTAAATTAATTGGCAAACATTTTGGAAAGAAGATATCATATATAATATCAATAAATATATTTATAAATTGTGTGATAAATGTTCGTTTGTTTCTGTGCCTCAATGAAACTTAATACCATTTAAAAATAAATTGGTATTTAGCATTAGTACTTAATCGTTAACTAAATACAAAACTTAATATTTGTAATGCTACTCTGCTTAGCTATCTTCATGAAATCAAATTTAAAGAAACTCAAATGATTTTAATTAATATAAATCCCATTTTGGAATGTAAATATAAACATAAATAATTATTACTTTGCCCATGTTTCATTATCTTATATTCTCTGTCATAATTAGCAAGAATTTCTTCCTGGAAACCAGAGAATTTAACCTTTAATTAAACCTAATTGGCAAATAATTGAAAACGAAACACTTGAAAGCGCAAAGATTATTACAAATTTAAATGAACTAAAACACACACTCACATGCACTCCCAATATATAGATGTTATTTTCACCTGTAAAGGTGTGTGCTTGTGTGTTTCCATGGCTTTTCAGTTCGAAGGAAGCTGTCTGGGCCATAAATTCACTGCTGAAATGGCTAAGAGCAGCCGGGAGCGCCCAAGCACAGCTGGAGGGGTTTTAATTAGAACACCTGGCCTAACTAACACACACACTATACCTCTATACCTCTCTATATATACACACACACACACACACATTATCCAGTAATACGGTTAGTTTCCATTTATTTCAATTAAAAATTCAGTTTGGCCAAAGGGGAACATTGCATAAATATTCATTGGTAATCACATTGACCTTACTATGCCTCTCTCTCTGTGTCTGTTTATTGCAGCAAAGTATTTTGTGATGAAGTCATGTGGAAGTAGCAACAACACGAGCTGTACAATTATAGGCGAAACTTAATTAAATGCCGCATCATTTGCAAACTGCAAAAGGGAATTCTTAACAATCGCAATAAAACTTTTGTCGAACAAAAGTAATTAAAGGACCTCGCACCCAATACCAATACACACGAAACAAGCGAACCGAGCGAACCGAGAGAGCCGCCTTCCTCCGCCTTGACGCTATGCGACAACAAAGTTGGTAAAAGGAGACGAGGGGGACGGCGAGCGGCGGAGTGGCAGGAGTGCTAGTCCTGTACATGGCCAGAAGCCAGCTGACGCTGCCAGCCGCAAACAGCTAACAGCTAACATCGAGGAGGTGCCGCAGGAGGACGCAGGACGCAGGACGACGAAGGAGACGGAGAAGGCCAGCAAAATGCAGAAGGAGAACAATGTCACGGCGGAGAATTGCCAATTTGTGGGGCCCTATCGCCTGGAGAAAACTCTCGGCAAGGGTCAAACTGGTAAGTGCAAGGAAACCCAAAGCCCATTTACTTGGCCCAAGTGGCTGTATCGAATCGAAACCATCAATATATCTATTAGAGAAAATGCCATATGGGCATTACATTGATTTAATACTTGAATCTCTCATTTACTGTAACTACCTAAGCTGTCTGTTTTGATTTTTCTGTAGGTTGATAAATATATAGTTAGGGTTCTGTTTATGGCAAGAAATAGTTATTATAGAACCAAGTATTTCTTTAGAAATTATTTTTAAAAGGAATTAAGCATATGTTAGAATGATAAATAAGGCTAAAAAGGTAACAAGTGTCAAGAATTATAGTAGTATAAATAAAGTACTATAGATAAAGTTATAGTTGGTACTTTTATACTTGAATCTCTAATTTTTCTGTAATTACTTAAGCTGTCTGTTTTGATTATTTTGTTGGTTGGTAAATATAGTTAGGGGTCTGTTCATGGCAATAAATGGTTACTTCAAAATCAAATCAAATCAAATTGAACAAAGAAAGAACAAAGAAATTGTATTTAAAAGGAATTAAGCATACTTTATAATGGTACGTGAGGTCAAACAAACAGTAGTTAACAAATAGAGTATTGTAGATAAATTTATAGCTAGTACTTTAAAATTTGAATGTTTAATTTATTGTAATTACTAAAGCTGTCGGGTTGGATTTTTCAGCAACTTAAAAAGTATATTTAGTGAGCTTTTTGAGGTAATTAATTAGAACTGTTGAATGAATAAAACTTTATAAATTATTTGTAAATAATTAAATAAATTATTTTCTATAATGCTAAATAAGAGCAAAAAGTAAACACGTGTCAAAGTTAGATAGAAACAGTATTTTACTTCCTCAAATAAAGTAAGCATTTAGCCATGCTCTTGCCTAATTATCCTTTTTAATTGTAGACTCTTCATTCCAACTTTCTGACTTTAATTAAGAAATCGTTTAGCTACGAATTCACTATCATTATCATACTTACTTCAATATATATGTATATGTATCCTGTAAAAACCCGCATTGTCATTACTGCAATCATCCGTTTATCCTTTTTGCAGGACTCGTCAAGTTGGGCGTGCATTGTGTGATTGGCAAAAAGGTTGCGATTAAAATAATCAATCGCGAGAAACTCAGCGAATCGGTGCTAATGAAGGTAAGTAGTTACCGAGGAGGTCGAAGGTCATGACTCGATGGAAAGTTCCTCGTCTATTCCTCTGTTTATTTATTTTTATTGCTTTGCTCTCTTTATGATTTTGTTTTTCGCCCTGTTCCTTTTGTCTTTTGCCTTATTTTCCGTTTGTCTTCTGCTGTGGCGTACGAGTCATAAAAAATTGTGACAATAAAATTTGTTTTGTGGTTCCTTGTTTTATTGTCCTTTTGCTCCTTGAAAGTGTAACGAAGTGACGGAGTGTAGTGTAAGGGGGTGACGTAAGGCCAGGAGCAGTGCAGTCGAACTGCGGAAGGGAAGGGAATGTTTTTGGGGATTTTTCGGGCTCGCGGTTTCCCTTGACTTGGGAACTTAAGTGTGCCAAAGTCGGGGGGCAAGTCAAAGACAAAGATATTTTGAGCCTTAAAGAAGCCTAGAGTTGGGTTATTTAAGGCAAGCGGCTTTTACTTTAAGCCAGAGATACCGAAACGCATTTTCAGCTAGAAAGTATTTTAGAACGGTCGAAAAATGTGAAAACAAAAGCTGGGGAACTTTAGAAATCGTATACAATTTGAGGAATTTGTTGTTTTTATTCTTATATATATTTAAAAATGAAAGGAAATTGCTCAAAATAATAAAGATAAACTTCAACTGCCATAATATTAATTTAAAGTTATTTTATTAATGCTGAGAAGAAACTTAAAAATTAATATTTAAAATAATGATCTAGCAAATAGCTTTTATAGTTTCACTATAAATAAATTCGTGGAAGTATCATAACCTCTCTGTTGACCTTTTTCCACAGTTTATCAGAGTAATTACTACCGCTTACAAAATCAACTACAAATTATCTTTGGTAAATATTCATTTATTCCGTGATCGATTTTCTGCCATAATCCAGCACCACCACATCTATTATAAAAGCTGGGACTAGTCTCTACTCCAAATAGAATTTCGGACTAGCCGCCATTCAATTCGGTTTCAATAAAAGTCAAAGTAAAGCTTCAACTATTTATTTTTCTTCTCTCCTCCTTTGTCGTCGTAATAATAAACCCATGGAAAACTCCCGCTCTACTATGTACTATAGAGAGATATACCGAAAATGTGGTGCAGTTTTTTGTAGGACATTGAAAGGACATGGGACAAATTAGTGCGTGCGACGACAAAGTAAAACAAAATTGACTGGCTTTTTTGGACGAGGCGGGGCAGAGTTTTCCGGCGAAAGGTTGACTAAAGCTCAGACATGTAGGACAATCGAATGCACAAGGTGCCTGATGAGGTGAAGGATGGTGGAAATAGGGGTGTAAACGAGTATAAAGGACCGCCGATGATTGCGTGTGGTGTCCATGTTGTAGAACCAGCTGGTCGGGACACGCAATGAGAAATTGGACGCCATTTGGAGGACAACAATGGGCCATTATGGCCGACCAAGCACCAAGCACTTTGAATGCATTGTAAAGAGGTGCACTTTTAGAAAAAAGATTTGGAAAAATGTCCTTAATAGAAGGTTTACCAAGAGTTTTCTCTATAAAAATGCAATTCAATATAGGGATTAGAAGCAAGACAGTTCTTTGTAATTAAAATATGAAATATAGACATTTTGAATGCTTAATTGCTATATTTAGCAAACATAAATTGTATACCCTTGTAAACCCTCTTTTATTTAATATAATTTAAGTCAAGGGCTATCTTAAAACTATCTATCTTAATTGCTATATTTACCAAACATAAATTGTATACCCTTGTAAGCCCTCTTTTATTTAATATAATTTAAGTCAAGGGCTATCTTAAAACTATATGTTTAAGTGAGGGTAATCCTTAGCTTTTTTATAATCATATCCTTTTTTCTGTACCGCTTTTCCGAGTGCATGTTCATGGGGATCAAGCTCTGACACAACATTGTCGATAAGTCGATTAAAATCGGTTTTCCCTCTACTCCGCTTTACTTTCTCTCCAAAGGTTGAACGTGAAATCGCCATAATGAAACTAATCGATCATCCGCACGTCCTTGGCCTGAGCGACGTGTACGAGAACAAGAAGTATTTGTATTTGATATTGGAGCATGTATCCGGCGGCGAGCTCTTCGATTATCTGGTGAAGAAGGGTCGGCTCACGCCCAAGGAGGCACGAAAGTTCTTTCGGCAAATCATTTCGGCGTTGGACTTTTGTCACTCGCACTCGATATGGTAAGCAATCTGTTTTTTTTTGTAGAAACTCCTAAAGTCGAACTGCAATCAATATGGGATTATTTATTCCAGCCATCGGGACTTGAAGCCGGAGAATCTGCTGCTGGACGAGAAGAACAACATTAAGATAGCGGACTTTGGGATGGCTTCACTGCAGCCGGCCGGTAGCATGCTGGAGACATCCTGCGGCAGCCCCCACTACGCGTGTCCGGAGGTCATACGGGTGAGTCCTGGCTGAATAATGGCCATAAAATTGCTTTTAGCTACCTTAAACCCCTTTTGCTTTTGTTGTCGCCCCGAGATCTCAGCAAACGCATAAACGTCAATCAAGGCGAACTTTTTAGCACATTTTCAGATGCAGCCATGGCTGCGGCAGTGGCAGGAATCAGTGGCAGAGGTGGCAGTATCCTGGAGTCGCTTTCCCATGCAAATTTTCGTCAGGCTCCCTTCTATGCAAATGCATCCTTGTCATGTGCGCATATGATTTCACATCTCTGGCTGCGACACATCCTGGCATACACTCTGCTTAAAATAGAGTGTGACTATATCCTTGAATTCTTTGAATCGTAACCACTTTTTCCAAGGAAATGGTTCTTTAAATAGAATTTCCATGCTTTTAGCAGCTATTTTGTCTTTTTCGTTAGCTTTTTACAGTAAATTTTAGTGTTTAAATAAATATTAAAATATGTTTTAAGAGAAATGTACTAATAGTTTGCTCCCAGTGTGTATTGCTCTGCTTTCCCTTCTCGCAGGACCTGCTGCAGCTGCTGCTTCTGGCGGAGATCCATGCTCCTGAGTCCGTAATAAATTCATAAGGGGAATTTTAAAATATCTTCTCGTCCTGTCTTATCATATATAGCTCGACCAAGCTATAAATCTGACTTGCTACGTGATTTTTAGCTTATCTGTACGTACATATAGATGTGTATGTACATTCTTTTATAAATATTCAGCTGTGGTAGTTCGCCCCACCTCCTAATTGATGTCTGCTAACCAAATCTGCGCTGTGCAAGGGGAAAAACCTTGACAATTTGTAGGGGAAAATTGCGTGGAAAGCCCATATACTCAATCACTTAAGTGGTCGTTTATCAATCTTTGGTATATGGTGGTAGCAGAGGGGGGTTTAAGCCACAAGCAAAGCCTCAGGCTGGTTTAGGGTTACCTACAAAAATCGGTTTGGGTAATCGACCGAACACAACGTGTATAATCTTACAAATTGGAGTTTTGAGAGTAGTTGTAATTGGAAAATGTGTTTATGAGTAATGTCCAGCCTGGGGAAAACGTAACTTTTGTGAAAGGATTTTACTTATCAAAGGGTGAATCACTATAACTTCTCTTAGTAGTTAGTAATGGAAAAACATTAAAATCAGATAATCTTCATACAAAATATTTAAGTTAAGTTAATTAGTTGCTGTGCCTGAGCAACATAGAATGTTGCTAAGTAATGTTGCAATTAATTCTTAGCTACAATTTCCCAGAAACAATTTCCCCTGCAAGCAGTGCAGCAGGTTTCTTTTCCAACTCAAAAGTTAATCAGCAAACTTAGCTAACGATCAGAATCTTATATATACAAATAAATTAAAGTAGGAAAGTAATTAATTTATATATAACCATTTCTATACCAAATCGCCAGTCGTTAATTATAAATTCCCCTCTTATGTGCTTAAAGATTTAGCAACCTTTAAGCCAAAGGGGGAACTGGAATCACCTGGCCTGTAATTTACAGTCGTGCTGCAATTACATATTGTATTTTGTGTGTGTGGTGTGGTGGGCAACAAACTGCGAGTCATTGTGCCATTTACCTGCCAAGTCAATAACCGTCCCCCGGGAAATGGCAGAGGAATGGCTGGGAACTTGGCATTTGATGGACACGTCAATGGACGTCACTGAGTTGAACGGACTGGACAACCCCCTTTTGGGTCTTTAAATAGAAAAGAAATAGAATAGGAGAAACTTTTTAAATTGGTAAAACCTTACCCATCGACGCTTATAGCATTTCCCATATGAATGGAATGGTTTATCGATAAAAAAAAAGGGGTGAAAGGTCCTAACGATTTGGGGCCACGCACAATGGCCAATCGAATTTTCAAATAATCAAGCTGAAAGCAAACATAAATGAAATGTCCCCGGCAAACAAACAACTAAACAAACAAACAAACAAACTAATGGAAAGACAGACACACACAAGAAACCCAGAAAATATCTTCATGTCTCAATTTCTGATTTTCCTTCCCCATTTCTTACATTTTTCCTCTTTTTCAGGGCGAGAAGTACGATGGCCGCAAGGCGGATGTCTGGTCCTGCGGCGTTATCCTGTACGCCCTGCTGGTGGGTGCGTTGCCCTTCGACGATGACAACCTCCGCCAGCTGCTCGAGAAGGTCAAGCGCGGCGTCTTTCACATACCGCACTTTGTGCCGCCCGACTGCCAGACGCTGCTCCGTGGCATGATCGAGGTGAATCCGGACCGGCGGCTAACGGTGAGTCATCCACAGGCACACACATCCCCATTCAAACACACATCCTTCGCCGCACTCGACACCCTCAGCCACGCCCGCGGCCAAGTGCAGCGGAGACCCAACAATGCCCATTCGGGAAATTCTTTCCTTAACTGGCTACACTCGAAGAAAAGCATTAGTAACAGAACACTGAAGTAATCAGAAATTTGTAAGGTTGATTTTGATATATTTTTAAAAATGAAAAATTAAACTTTGAAAAGGGTATTTCATTAGGTATTTATATTAGTGTATACAACAAAAACACCACAATTGTAGCTTAAAACTCGATATATTTTGGTCAATGGAAAAATCGATATTTAAATAGGACATTATCGGAATATCGGTACATAATTTGATAAAGATATCACACCCTATTTGTACTTTTTATTTACACAAAGGATAGGTTTATAGATATATCATAAAATATTGATTTAAAGACACCTAAAACCTATAACAAATATTTTTGTAATAATTACCTATCGGGGAATCTACACAAAAAAACTAATAAAATAACAGTGCACATTTTATTTTGCGTATGGGGTGGTGAGTCATTTTGTAGCCACCACCGGGCTTTTGTTGGTTTTTGGGTCAACACGTTGCCCGGCTATTTACCCAGTCCCCCTTGGAATTGCTCCCTAAAAACCAGTTTTTGCTTTATTTTCTTTTTACCCTGTTCCTCTGTATATCCAGCTGGCCGAAATCAACCGACATCCGTGGGTCACGGCCGGTGGCAAAGGTGAGCTGGAGCTGGAGCTGCCGATGATGGAGGTGGTGCAGACACATGTCATTCCCACAGCGACTGCGGTGGATCCGGATGTGCTCAACGCCATTTGCTCGCTGGGATGCTTCAAGGAGAAGGAGAAACTCATTCAGGAGCTGCTCAGTTCGAGGTGGGTTTGAATAATTTGAACTATATTATATATAATCTAACATTTCCATGTATGTAATGATATTTTTTTGTAATCCACAGTCACAATACTGAAAAGGTTATATATTTCCTTCTGTTGGAACGGAAGCGAAGAAGACCAGCGCTGGAGGATGATGATGAGATTGCACAGAAATCCCGCAGCGAACTGGATGCTGTGGATCCGCCGCGGAAACGCCTGGACACCTGTCGCATCAATGGGACCAATGCACCCAGCTATGGACAGATCTCAGAGGGTTCACCGCTCACCCCCAGACGACAGGCCTTTAAGTGAGTCTCGTCGTATCTTGGCAACTTGAAAAATATAATTAAATATCTTGCACCTCGACAGCTTCCGCTCGTACAGCAGCACACGAAACCACCAACGGCGCTCCCCCACAACAGTGTCCTCGTCGGTGCGGAGCTCCTCATATCACAGTCCGACGCGTTGCAACTCCCCGATGAGCTCTGCCCAGCAGCAGGCGAATGCCATCTCTCGCCCCTCCTCACCGGCAGCGGGAACGCGACACTCCACGTATGGGGATCGAGACAGGAGTGGCCATCACTCGTCCGTCAGCAGGACGCCGTCGCATAGCTCACAGAAGAGCATCGAGGGCGATGTGGTTGTGGTGCGGGAGCCACGGATTGAGCGGCGGGACTCACTGCGTCAGGAGCGCAGTGGCGGTGGAGGAGGAGGACCAGGATCTCCGCGGGATCGAGGAGAATGCGGCATGCCGCCAGGCAGTCCCGGCGGCAACTCAAGCGGTTCCCAATCCGCCTCGCCGTCGGTGCACCATCGTGCCAACTCAGGTCCGACAATTGCCATTATGTTCCACGATCCAGAGTCGAATAGTGGTGTGTGCATGCCCCTTAGAAACCCTGTAGAAATCCAAAGAGATCATGTCAAAAGTCGATATGTTCAGAAGATAAAGCTATATTTTCCATTAAGTCAAGTTCATTTTAGGAGCTATTTTAAATATTTAATTAGTATAGTTTTACCTTGAAAATACATCGCTTTGGCTTGTGATCTTTTATAGTCTGTGCAAAGTAGAGCTTGTGTTATAATCTTTGTGCCTTTCTTGCAGTTGTGAATCCCAATGGCTCGCCCATGATGAACAACAGCAGTCCGGGAATGCCCGGCTCACCTTGCAATACACCTGGCGGTCAGCTGTGGAAAACGCGACTCACCAACATCAAGAACAGTTTCCTGGGCAGTCCGCGTTTCCATCGCAGAAAAATGCAGGGTAAGTCATATATTATAAATAATAAATAATAATTAAAATTCCATTAAACATTATTTATAATATTTTCGTTTAGTTTCTGCCGATGAGGTGCACTTAACGCCCGAGTCCTCGCCAGAGCTGACCAAGCGCTCCTGGTTCGGTAATCTCATAACAACCGAGAAGGATGAAACCTTCACTATTTTGGTCAAGGGAAAGCCCATTGCCACGGTCAAGGCGCATTTGATACATGCATTTTTATCTGTAAGTTTTCAGAAGATATTCAATCTTTAAAAAATACTAATGGAATTTCCCTTAACCCTCAAAGATGGCTGAACTATCGCATAGCGTGGTCTCGCCCACCTCGTTTCGGGTGGAGTACAAGCGGAATGGCAATGGTCCCGTCATGTTCCAGCGCCATGTCAAATTCCAGGTGAGTGGCTTAGCTCTCTTTCGGGTTCTGTGGGATGGTGCTAATGGTTTTCGAACACCTTACAGGTTGACATCAGTGCCATTTGCAAACAGGGCGACATTGCAGATATGTTGTTTGCTTTGACATTTACGCTGCTATCAGGTAAACAATAAGTGTGCTATCATCGCACTCAGTAAACAGCCTAATTGAACTCCCCACTTTTCCCCCGTTCATAGGTAATATTCGGCGTTTCCGTCGCATTTGCGAGCACATCCAATCACAGGTGTGTTCCAAGCGGTTCCCGGGTCCCAGCAGTCCGCCAACAGTCACCAGTGTCACTCAGGCCGTGTCCGAGAGCTCATCCTGCGGATCGGTGTCCAGTGAGAGGTTATCCTACAAGCGACAGGTGGTAAGTTCTCTTGTTATTATGGATTTATGTATATGGGTTTAAGCTAAATGAATCCCTTACAGATCGAGAGCGACATGGAAAACGATTCCATATTCTCGTACAAGTCGGGCAACGGTCGCCGGGCATCGACCACGAACAATAATAATGCCAATCCCGTTGACATTCCCGGCAGTCCCATTGCAGTACGATCCAAGTATGTAAGAAAAAATAACATAAATAACGTAAAATGCAGTATAAGTTCTGGAGTTTTACGTCCAGATATATATTCAAATATTCTTATAACATTACTTTAAATTCTGGTTAAATGAAGATGTTTGTAATCTACTTTTTCATATATTTTAGTTTGAACTAATTAAGTAATATTAAATTCATCTATGCTTAAATTAATAAATTCTTGACTTTAACTATTGAATAAAGACTTTACATTTCCCACTAAGCATTAAAATTCAATGACAATCCATTTAAAATTTTGAACGTTTTTGAAGCTGTGATATAATTTAGTTCATTATGCATAGCTTCTTGTTTTAATACGCATAAACTAAATATATTATACTTTACCTATAAATTACTTATAAATTTGTATATTTAATATTATATATATTTATAATTTAAATCTCTTTCATTCCTTTCCAGCTCAGAGACAGCTGAACACGAACGCAACCGCGAACTGCAGAGTGAGCGTCAGGCGACAACGATGTCCGGTAGTGCAATCGCATGAGAATTATTTCTCTGATTTAGTTACATTTTTCACCAGGATCTTAGTTTTGATATGGCACTAGTCAACAGCAATCGCAACCAGATATTGTATTCCAACTAGAGGACGACGAATCAGCAGCAATTCGCTGGTCACAAACTCAAACAGTATTTTTCCTATAAACACCATCCGACAAGATCTTCAAAAAATAAGTAAAAAACACACAAGTCAACTCCCGAATAATAATACCAAAGCAATAATAGTGGAATTTATATACACTAGCATATATAGTGAATCAGAAATTTTGAATGCCGATCGGATCGATTGAACAGAACTTTGCTAGCTGCTCTAGCTTTTATCGAACCTGATTTTCGAGTTATTGTTGATTTTTTGAGTGACTTTTTCGTAATGTTCTTTTTGATGGACATTGTTGCCGCCGCGCCTAAAAAGCTTGCAAATAAAAGACACCGTGTAAAAATATATAAAATTATATACAAACAAATCAAGTTAGCTCTAGCCCTAAGTCGAACCAGTTATTCTAGAGTCATTTTCTTTACCTAGACTAGGCCTCAGATTTAGCTACGCAAATGGGGGTTGCTACTCATGATAATTCGCCGACGATTTGTATAGAGTGTATAAAGGATATTACGCAAAATGCACTGATCTTTGACAACTAACTAAACGGAAACGGAAATAACAGAATATAACAGAATATAACAATTTCAGAAACCGAATAACTTTTGCATTAACTTAGCGTTGCTGTTTTTCTAAAAAAATAAAATAAAAATACAAATAAATAAAAATCGATACAACTATTTTGCTAGCGAGACGAGAAACGCAAAAACTATTTTTCCTAAATAACAAAGAAATACTATATGTAAAACGCGTAAACTTTCAAACTTCAGACAAGCATATATGACGATCAAAAGAGTGTTGTGCGGTAGAGGAGCTCGGGATATAGCAGATATTGATAGACATTTATAATGTACATAAGGATACCGAATTACTAAGCAAAGGCACAGCAAATGGCTAATAAACGATATACAGCACATTAAAGTAACGAAAATTCCAAGGAAAACCATATATATTTTGCATGGGCATGAAATGAAATAAAGCTTTCTTAACCAAATACTTGTATAAATAAACTGGGACGAAATATATATCTATGTATAGAATGGATCGGGGATTGTACAAATTGTTGAGTTGCACCAGTGACAAAGAGAATAATACCTAGGAGAGAAATTCAATTGGAATTTGTATGAATGTATATTTTTATTGAAAAGGAAAAGGAAATAGAGAAGGCTTGCTAAGCTGTCTAAAAGTGCACAAATCGCAAGGCTATCGTCTAAGCCAGATAATGTTTCCTTCAGTCTAAAGAGCAACCCCACAAAACAATCACATTGAATCGTTCCTTCCCTACCTACCCTGTACTTTTGAGTGGTTTTCATAGTTTATAGCTTTTGATTTTTTGTTGCCAACACCCAAGCCAATCAATCAGAGAGTCCTTTCTATAACACATACGATAATTTGAAACTAAAAGACTTAAGAAATCGACATAAAGCTAATGAAATCCAAACAAAACCGTCCATTTATCCACTTAAAGCTAAACAAACAAAATGTAAAGGCAACTCAGCAATTTGTGGAATCAGCTGGATATATAGAGTGGGGGTGTAAAGGGAGCCCGAATACTGTATGTGTATAATGTAAAAGGATATAGATCTATATACTGAAACTGTGTATGACAGCAATATCAAAATAGTCAGAGGGAGGATTTGAGATGTGAGGGCGGTACGATACTAAAACGTGATTAGAACAAATATTAAACCACAAATTACGAGTTAATAAATGCTTAATGATAAACCCAATAAGGTCGCGTAAATCTAACAAAAAAATATATTAAACAAACCTATTTAAAAAGTATTGACACTCACACCACACACAAAAACTCACAACAAATCATGCAATAATATTGAAATGAAATTACTTTTTAGCATTAAATACGATATGATACATCAGATTATTTATCGCTCATCATAGGAAAGATACTCAGAAAACGCATTTAAGCTGAACATACATTCAAAATTAAGCTCACCGACTTAAAGAGACAGAGAGATGGCATTCATATATTTATACATGCATATATCATATACACCACACCGATCACGGAACTCGAAACTCTTTATATATATACAACATACGACATATGACATATACCATAAACTATATTCCGTGTTTACTTTCATATACAAGAACAAGGTCCGCCAGCATACCCACATATACGAAGTATACATCTATATGCGTCGCCCCATTCGTACATCCAAAAAATAAATATATATTTACACACAAGCGCATTTAATACGAGTTGCAAGTACATTCGTCACCCAAGAAATGGCTAGTTTTGTATCATAAGAAATGTAAAAATCATATTTTTCACTTGATACTAAATCGAATTATAAATACTAAACCTTAACTTAACCAAAAAACGCTCTGCATACTAAGAAACCGATCGCAGTCTCGACGTCAGACGATAATTGCTTTATATGGGAAGTACCCAAAACGAATACAAAAATGAAAGCCCAATACTCAATGCTGCATTATGCTGCTGCCACGCCTACCTTTTTACCTTAACTGAAGCCTATACATACTACCAAATTTTCGCGCTCTTCTCATCCTCAAAACTCAAAACTTAAACTCGAAACTCAACAACATAATCACCACCAAACCCAAGAACTAACTCATTTTAACTGCTTCAGCAGCGAATATTTGCGCCGAGATAATTTTATATGCCACGTATACATATATTTCTATCTATAGTATATATATACACCCCTATATATATATCTACACAAGCATTATACACCAGAGCAAGCGCTTTACTTCAAATGCAAATTCAATTGCAAATGCAAATGCAATGGAGGAGCTGTTTATTACTCATTACGAAATAAACGATTCGAATACTTATTACAAATAAATTTAGAGGGTAATGTTGTGTATTGTACTGCGCTTTTTACGTTGTTGATTTGGTTTCCCCCCTAGGTTCCACCATATTATTACTGTAATATTGTAATTAGTTCTGCAAGTGATTAAGGCTAAGTTATATACTGCATTGTGCGCTTTGTTTTTCGTATCTACGGATATATAAGTTATACATTGTATTTTGTAATTTAATTTTAAGCTCGAGGAATATCGCGGAGTCAGGCCGGATTCACGGATGAACCATAAAAGAGATTAATATTGAAACCAAAAACACATTCTCGTTTAGGAGAAGCAACAAACCAAATAAGAATAAACCAAACAAAAGTGCATCTGTTATTAGGTTAAAAGAATTATTGATATTGTTTGCAAGAAAATGTGTGAAATATATATATATATATATACATATATATATATAAATATAAATTAAAATACCACTTAGCATAAAAAAACAAACAGTGAACAAACAACAAATTGTAATTGCAATTTAAAAATAAAATTAATATTTCAAATAATAAGAGAGAGATGTCTTTTTGGGCTGAAATAATTATACTTTTGCAGGGATTTCGAACTCTTCATCCTGAAGTTCGAAACGCTTTAAGGGGGTCATTCCAACCTTAAAAACCATATACATCACGATCTGCATGAACATAGAATCGATTTGGTAGAAAAATTGAGTTGAAATTGTAATTTATTAAATTTACATACTTATTAAAACTTAAAAAACTATTAAAGGAAAGTTTTCAGAATTGAACTTAATGCTCTTTTACTTAGCTATGGCTTTTACATTTTTACTTGTCCAAGAAATTATAATTTAAAAATAGATAAATAAATGTGATAGTATTTATAATATAATATATGAGCACTTCAACATTATTGTCAGCAGCTAGATTTTGTTAATTATTCTTATCCGATACTGATATATTGAAGTTCAAAGCCGAGCAAGTTACAAAAGATCCCCTTTAAACATTTTCATTGCATATTTTGTTTATAGAAACAAAATTGTAAAATTATTTTCGGATGTGATATATTTTATTGTTTTTTAATGATAACTGCCAATATTATATTAAATGCTTTTAATTATCCTTCGAGAAGTGTATTATAATATCTCAAGTTTCAGTTGACTCATTTATTGAATAGTTTTTTGTGACACCTTTTCACTTTACATCCCACAATGTGCCACTGTGCATCCGCAATGGATTGCGTCACTTTCCGCGCCATGTCTCTTTCGGGACGGAGGCTGACTTTCTCGGTTCGTCAGCTGTTTTTTAGGGGCGCAGGGCAGACAGCTGGCGAGGGCATGGCTGAGGGGGCGGGGATGTTGGCCAAACACCGCATGCATTTTGCGGCAATCAGCTGTGGAGCTTTCGCCACTCGGAAAAGCTGATGGTCGGCCCAAGGAGCTTCGCGGAGAGCCGGTGTCGAGCTTTGGCTCCGAAAAGACCCGAACAATGGGCGACATCGAAAAGCAAGCGGCGCACCAGAGACATTTCGGTGTTCGCCTCGCCTCGTCATCCTGCCGTTCCGTGAGTCCGAAAACGAGCAAAGAAAATGCATGGGAAGGAAAACTTGGTCAGTTGAGGGCTCAGTTCGGGTCGGGTTTGCAATTCAACAGCACTGCGAAGGCGGATAGATTCGGTCGTCACTACTGCGACTACGGCGACACACGGGCCAAACAATAAGCGCCAGCCAGCGTAGTAATATCGACTTCACCTCTCCAGATATATTATATATCATCGTATATTGGTGCTTAAAAGTAAGAAAACGGAATAAGAATCGGAATTTATATGCCAACACAAGTGGCCATCAGTGTGCTTCGGGAAATGATTGAAAAACGCATGGAAATTGCAATGTGCGATATTAAGTGTGCAGTTGTGTTTTGAATTTTTAACGTCCCCAAACCCAGGCCAAAACCGAAACGTGCTTCCGTCTTCTTCTACTACCATTTTTTGTGCAGTGAGTGAGAGTGGTGAGCGAGTGAGTTATGTAAAGCTTCGGTGTTGGGTTCTTTCGGTGTTCCGTCGCCAACAATAACAATAACCAAAGCAGCAGCCGTAATGCCAGCCAGCCAGCGAGAATTGCAACAATAACCACAACGAGGAGCGTGTGAAGCGACAATAAGCGTTGCAAGATTGAGTGGCTTCAAAAAAAAAGAACGGTAATTAAAAATTAAAGGCGAGAGAATTAGTAAGCAGAAAGCAGGGACTGTGTTAAGTATACGCACCGGTGGCCCACTACAAAATGTATATGCATAGAAATATAAAGTTATGGCTAAATGCGTGCCAAGTGAACATCAACTAAGTGAAATAAAAACAACAGCATATTTAAAAATTGCATATATGTTTTAAGTCGTAAAATATAATATTTAATATTTATAATACAGAAGCTTTAAAATAAAGTCTTTATTTACGTGATTATGAAATTATAATTTGTAAAACTTGATAAAAACAGAATTGAAATGGTTCAAATATTAAATAACTTAACATATCTATAATCGGAAGCATAAGCATACTATAATAATGACTACAAATAAAAAAAGGAAGTTAAGTGACTATTGGATTAGTCTAGTGAAGTCAACTTAAAAACCCGTTTTATTAAATAAATTAACAAAATAATATCGCAAAAGGAATCAAATAAGATTTGAATTTGTAAATAATATACGAAAAGTCGGCACAAAGATGAAGCTGAAGGAAATATTCAATTCATTCAATGAAAAATAAAACACGATTAGTGTAAAAGAGGAAGAATTATTGCACAAAATAAAATAGTAAATTAAGTAAAGTTAGCACAAAATAAAAAAAGTTAAACCTAAAACTAAAAAAGCTTATGTAAAACCCTTAAGTACTGCCCAGACCATGCTAAGTAAAATCAATCAAAAGCCATTGAGTCTTTGCAATCCCTCGTAATTAGCCCGCTAAGAGGTGGACTTTATCATAACAGAATCAGTTTGGGTGTATCGGCATCAATTACCAATTATAACTTGACAATAAAATCGCCAAGTGTCCGCATGTAGAACCCAAAACACACACACACACCCCAATCAATTTGCTTTTAGCGGTCTCTCTCCGACTATTTTTAGTTGCACTTGCTTTCCTTTTTTCTTGTTTTTGTTGCAATTTTTTTTTTACTTTGCTCAATATTAGTGTCAAGGTGCAGCTAGTGCATAGAGAGAGGGAGATGGAAATAGAGTCTGAGACAGAGAGAGGGCGACCGCGGAGCCAAAAGAACAAGACACGAAAATGAAGAAGCAAGAAAGGTGGTGGGTAGAGTAACTCGGCAATAAGATACCCTAGCAAAAAACAAATGCAATCGATCCACAATTCTATCAGGAGCTGAGGCTGAAGAAGAAGATAAAATAATTTATATAAAATTTATGAATTCTAAAATATATTTTACATTCTACTTCCTCCAAGTCTGGTATACCCTCTGCACTCTTCGAGTAATGGATATCATATAAGAAACCAAGGGAACGGAGAGTGCAAGAGGGCGGCGCCGACATCGCGAGAAAGCAACACACGAAAAGGTGGCTATCAAAAAATAATAACAACAAAAACAAAACACAGCAACAAGAAATAGAAGAAGAAGAGAAAAAGAGCAGGGCACCGAAAGGGGGGGCCCGCCCGTCACCCGTGTGGGTTGGCTCCTTCAAGACTTGTCACATCGAACAGAAAGAAATTGAATTTATGTCTTGGGTGGGTTGCCTTCAATGACAATTAGGCTGCTATATAGCCGCAGAGTCGTCGGGGGCCTATATATGTATATGTCATATAGTAGTGTAGTATGTTGGGGTAACGCCTGAAACGCACAGGTAACGGCATAGGTATAGGTATAGGTCGTAGGAATAGGTAATGCCAAAAAGCGTAACGATGGAGGAGCCGTGGCGCGTGTTTCGCTCGGTAAGGTAAATCGCGTTAGCAACAACAACAAAAACATGAAAAGCAACAAGGATACGCAGGACTCTGCTTTCTGGTTTTCTGGTTTCAGCTTTCAGGTTTCAGGCGACCCACATTACTTAAATTACGAACTACACGCAAAGTCGCCGAAAGCCCACACACAACTGGGAAAAGTCACACACGCTGGTTAGTCATTTCTCTGGCAGCCAGTCAGTAAGTTTAGTTCGTCATTTTGCCAGTATGTCATTCCGTCAGTCGTTCCTGCAGTCAGTCAATCATTAGCCAAAATGCCTTATGAGTCAGCCAGTATGTGAGCTACACTTGACCAAATCTGTAAGTCCTGCTACAAGGATGTGTGCGATCTAGATTAAAGCTTAAAATTTAAATAGTATATTATACATTTTTTAAATCCTTTTATTTTACTTAGATATAGGTTGAGGGATATAATAAATATAAGTACAGAGTTGTGTTTACCATAAAGTTCTTGTTAAATCTATTGATTTATTCAGTAGTTTACATTATTGTTTCTTTTTAAATGCTATGCTCAATGCTTTTTTAATTGCTCTTCAGTATATAAAAGTACTGATTTGTATTTTCTTTTATATTCCCTTAACTTTTAAACATTTTCCCCTAGTGCAAAGTCCTTGTCGAACGTTGCGTGCCTTTGGGTGGAGCCTCCGACAAGAAAGAGTAGATGGAAATGTTAGGATATGTACTGTGGAAGGGGAGGAAGACATGTTGCATATTTCTGGGCGTGTTGGCTGCTAGACAAAAATGTCGTTTTCAACGAAATTCCCGGCATTCCAATGCCGTGTTAAGGACAGACATTGAAACCGAGGCATTCGTCTGACCGCAGTAATGAGATGAAAAACACCAAAATATACTCAGCAGCAGCAGCGAATTTGTTTTTACAAAAAACACAATTAAATTCAATTTAGTGTGAAGCGTCGGCGGGTGTTCCTTGTTTTTTGGCTTGTTGAATACCGAAATTTATTTAATCACACACACAAACACATGGTATATTTTTGGTTGGTTTTGCTTTGGTCTGAAGCTTCGCATTTTTGCATTTTCCCCTTTGCGCTGCTTTGGTTTATTTTTAACACATTTTCGGAAAGGCGTGTGAAAGTTGTGTAGATTTCTTTACATTGTCTGCCTAGCAAATATGATAAGAATATAGGAAAGATCATGAGATAATTTATGATCATGATCTCCTTTACACTCGATGACCTTCCGAAAATATATTTCCACAAACCACATTTAAGCGAGAACATGTTGTAATTACTTGGAGGAGATGCAATGCGATTTTGCATTCACATCACATCACATTGCCCCTAATGCTATTTTTATTTAATTTTATTTTATTTAAGCGCACCATTTTCACGCGCATACGCCTGGCAATAATCTACTACATAAATAAATAAAAATAGTTCATTGAGTTCGAAAGACAAACACGATTTTTACAGCCTTAGCCTGGCTCGTACACATGTTCGTTGGATGCGGAGCAGGCGACGGCCAAGAGGCGTGTAAATATGGCCCGGTATAGGAAGTGCAGGAATTATTTATTAATGAATCGCCATGGGAAAACGCGAGTGCACAAATGAGTGATGGATAGGAGGCGGTTGAGATCCAACAAAATGAATAATTGAAAAATGTTTGGCCAGAGGTATTTTAAGGCAAAAATATTTACTTGAGAGTAGTTTAGAAAAAAATGAAATTAGTTTGGTTTCCCATACCCGAGTTCATTTAGAACGTAAACTAGTCTGTTTTGGGTATTTATAATTTAAATCCTTTCAACTTTTCAAGTTTTAAGTTTTGTGTTTCTTTACCGAACATAAGCCTGCTTTGTGGATCACAACTTTAAAACTTGAGGAGCGGGGGATTTCCACACTTACCTTCGTTTTGAAACAAACTTTATCTCTGCGCGACCTCTTTAAGTTTACCAGATCCCATTATAAATTTTCCCAAGACCGCTGCCTGTCGCAGGCTCTCTTTACCCAAGTTTCCTTAAGTTTTCACCGCCCGGAAAGTGTTTTCCCAACTAACTGCTTGGCAAATTGCTGCCACTTATGTAAGCAGCTCGACCAACGTTTACTCCAATGAAATACAAAATATGCAACGTGTACAAAATATACAAAAATACACAAAAATATTCCCAACGAAGTGCTGAACAAAAATTGTGGCGCCAAATGAGCAGCGGAAATAAAAGAAAAACCATTGGAAAACTTTAGCATACATCGCAGGGCAGTTAAGACTTCAAAGTAAACAGAACAATCGTAAAAGACGAGTGCGAATGTGGAGGGAAAAACGTGAAATAGGTATAAAAAAAAGGCAGAGCGAAATAAAGCGAATCACATGGCGAAACATAAAGCGTCAAAAGTTGGCCAAATAAGGCGATGAAACGCAAAAAGAGGGGTGTAATTTCAAAGGACCCCGACACCAGCAACACTAAAATCAAAAGGAAAGCAACAGAAAACAACAGAACAAAAATATACATTTCAAAGTGTCGTTCGTTCGTCGTTGTCGTCGTCGGCGGTTCGTTCATTCGTTCGTTCGTCTGTTCGTTCGTTCGTGTTCGAGGTCCTGCGTGTGTGTGTCCTTGCAACTTTCGGTTAAGCCCCTCACGCTCACTCGCACTCTCAATCCCTCTCACTCACAGCTGGGTCCTTTATTTTAGCCAACGGCAATTGCACATAAGTTGCAACAAGCCAAGTTACAACAGGAGGTGTAAGCAACAACTAAAGTAACACACAAAAAAAAGCCAAAACAACGGCCTGTTGGCCAACAACAATAAAACAACACCAGCTACAACAACGAGAACCACAAACAACAATCCGCCTAAAGGGCCAAATGAACGTTAGCGCTAGTCCGTCTGTCGCCCGTTAGGTGGCGCCGCCGCCAGCCGCTGAACAACTGCCACGCTTCTCGTCCTGCCACTGGAAATCCTGTCGCTAATTAGGTAAGTCGCCCAGCCCAGCCTCGTGTATCCCTCCTGTGTGCTTTCACTTTGCCTTTGGTCAAAGCGGGTGCTGTCCGTGTGCTGCACATTATTTCATTTCGTTGCCGGGACGTAATTATGGCAATTTGCGTCGTCGTCGACGTCAGGCTGCAAGTCAAGTGCGGAAAAATATTACTCATGCGCCACGTGGCCATGTTACAAGTTAAACTTTCACTTTACTTGGATATCTTGTTCCAAAAACAACTAAATTAAATTGAAAATTATTTCTGGTACAAATAAATGTATTTTAATAATCACCATTTGACTTAATCATAAGAAAGATGTTCAGTTTCTGGTTTTGCAGATTCAGGATAAAATGTTTATTTTAGAAATTTTAGAAATTTTCTGATTTATATTGTTTTTTGATTTAACTGAACATTATCATGTCTGATAAAAATAATAAGTGCAACGATTTCTTCTTCAAAATTTTATAAGCAATTAATAATAATTAAAATAATTCAAAGAATAGGAATATATTAATTCTTCTTGATGAGACAATATGGCCAAAAGTCTTTTTTATTCAGAGTCGCTTTTAAAATCGTAGTTCATTGATAATTAAATGTATAGAAAATTTAATTTGTAATCTAACTATCTTTTTCAAAAAATCGATTGCCGATTCGACCCCATGATATAATTTTAAACTGAATGGATAATTAAACTTTGGCTTCATGAAATTAGGTTCTTTACGTTTTTTATTATTACAGTCGTCGTTGCTCGTCATTTCCATTTGTTGTTTCCTTTCATTTTCTCTGCCCATCGTCTCTGTCAGGCGTCTTTACTCGTCGTAATTTTTCAGGTGTCCTTACTCGTCGATATAACTTCTCGTCTCTTCGTGTCACAACCATCCTTATTTTCTCACTTACTTACACTTACTCATTTTCTTCGTCATATTCACTCGCCAATCTGCTTGCTCATTGTCTCGTTGTTTTCTCGATTGACTTAAAAGTCGTTGTCTAGAGTCTAATAATTATCCTGAAAATTGTATATTTATATTTATATTGCATTTTTGAATCGAGTTACCTTACAATCCATTTATTTCTTGAAAATCTTCTTTAAATACTTTAAAGCACTTGCAATTTTATGGCAAATCAAATGCAGGAAATGCTGACAAAAAAGTGGCATTCATTGAGTCCAGTTTCCATCTGAAAAGCTTTATATTCTCGCACCTCTGGCTTGATGGCAGCAAAAAATCGAACGATGCAGGCGAATCGAAAAAGAAAAAATAAACACATTCCAACCAATTTCTCTTCATTTTGGATGAACCGCGTTGCGCTAAATTGAATTTCCTGGTTAAATTGCAGCACTGCGGGGCTTGGGGGAGTCGAGGGGCTAGATATAATCATACACGCAGGTGAAATGATGCTGCAATGTTTGGCTTTCATTTCGTATTGAATCCTGAATAGAATCATCCTTTGCATTACGGCTGCATGATAAATTGCATTCAATGATTGTCAATTTGGTATCCCAAATATGTAGCTCCATATTTTTCGATTTATTTCGCGCTCCTTTTTATTTCATTTTACATTTAAGCTGGGTATCAATTAGTTGGTATTCAATTCGGCCTTTTGGTTATATGCATTTATTCCATACGTTCCAGCTGAGTGTTTTTTCTTTACTGATGCATAAATTCTGGTCGATTGTGTTCCGAAATTGTGGACATTCCTTTTTGTCAAACGCATACAAAATCGCGCTTATTTTACAGCGAACAGTGAAAATTGGCTACCAAAAAAAAGAAAAATAATAAGCTCTGAAACACAAATATTTCTAGTATGAGAGAATAGTTTATAAGTGGAATTCCAATGCTATTTTATAAATTGTTTACTTTTGTAGAGACAAAAGTGTACCGTGTACACGCTGACGTATGCGTAATATCTCTGGGAACCACGCTACAACCAGGTATGCTAGGCATTCGTGTTTTGGCTGTATAATTGTGACCTACATACAGACACAGGTAACCTGAAAGCCGAAAACATTAAGCGCTCTTGCTGAGCCTGGGGAAAATCCAAAGCGGAGGCGGCAGTGGCTGCGGCCAAATGGAAAATCAACACAGCAAAGAGAATGAAAAGGCCAGCAGGCAAATAAGACGATGAGATTCGAAAGGGGGGGCTAACTGGTGTCTCTCCTGGCCAGGGATCAGGCCAACAATCGAATGGCCCAAAGGCAGCTCCAACTGGTTTGGCCTTTCCCTAGTTCGGTCGACAGAGAGAGAGAAAGAGAGTCTCTATGCTCCTCGCTATATCCTTCCTTTCAGCTTTCGCGCCGGGGCCATCCTTTTGTTGTCATAACTGGAGGAGCAGGACGAACATGAATGGCATCTTGGCTAGATTCGGTTTAGATCTGGCTTTTTTTTTACATGGAAAACCTAGGTTACTAGGGATTTTTAATGAATTTTCCTTTATATATATAATTGTAAATTTAGATATTGCTCAAAACTTTTAATATTTAATTTCATTTTTTGAGATTATATGACTTTGTAATCTTTAAGTGCCAGCACTGGACACTCATTGTATGTTTAAGCTGTGGAGCTCAGGAGAAAAAAATCCGGGGCTCATCCTGTTGGCAGGACTATCGGCCAACTTATTGGCCTTGCTGTGGCAGCTGCATGTGTTATCCTTTTTATATTTGGCCTGGCCACAACGGGAGCAGGAAAACTGCACTTGTGCAACAACTATCTGGTCCTTTCTTGCCGTTACGTTCCCCATGCATCCTCTGCACCCTTTTGTGTGCACTCAATTTAGCCATTTCTTGCAATTCGGCGCTTTTCTTTTTTGGGGGGAATAGGAGGAGGAGCAGAAGCAGAAGCAGAGGCTGCGGTGAGGCGCCCCCGGAACAAATTTAATCTATTCTGAAAGTTTTCCATGTGCGCCAAGGGAGTGCCTGCAAGTGTTCGTCGGTTTCCCAGCTTTGGGCTGTGGCCAGCGGGCTGCGGGCTTTTCGGGTATTCCGTCTTGCCGAACTGGCTGCCAGAAGATGTGACAGCAACTAATTAAGTCAGTCGGGAAATTGCACTCGACATTTCCCGAGGTGAGCGACGCGAAAGGTGTCGGCTGAAATTGAGCGACGGAGTGGAGATTTTTGCAACTGCAGAATGTCTACTTTTATTATATTCATTTTTTGCAAAGTTAACACTTTAATTAATTGGAGTAGAGAAAGAAAATGGAGTTTAATATAATCAAATTACCACTTGCAAAGTATAATGGAAGTAGTTTATTTTATTCCCTCTTAGCTTAGTTTCTGTTGAAATTTCTTTTTAAACTTTACTTAAGTTTTAAATCTTGACACATTAGTATGGTATGTGCCATCCAATTTCTCTCTGTGTGGCTCACCTTTTTAGCCAAATGATAACTTCAATTGATTGGTGGGCGCAACCAATTCCGGGTTTCTTCCGACGCATTACGTATACGACCCTGTGGCTTAGTGTCAAATTATCAGCTACTTATTATTATTGCCTTTATTAGAACCTTGGTCTCCCCGCGCTACCATCATAGCCCCAATCAATGTCAGCTGTTGTCATTGTTAGCATTCTGCTCTGCACTTCCTTTTTTTATCCTATTCTTTTTATTTTTGTTGTCGCCCGCTTATGTAAACCCTCTGGAACGCAGACAAAAGCCTGCCAAATAGCGCAAAATGTGCGCCAATTTAGTTGTCGTTTAATTTGATGGCACAGCCGATTTGGCAGGCAAAACGGCAGTGGAAGATTATGCCGGAGCAATGGTGGCCACGTCATGAATGACTGCCCACCGCCAGGCGGAGGAAATTGCTGAGGAAAGCGGTAGCTCACAGGACCGAAAGGAGGCCCCACCATCGAAGGTTGTGCGGGGAGAGAGCAGAACGAAAATAAAAGTGACCGGCAATAAAATGCTAAAAGGAACATGCAAGTACATATATGCATACATATAGAAGGACATGTACGGAAATAAAATCCACAGTCAAACTTCTATAGCTCGAACTGAGGTTGACTACAGCGAAAGTCCTGATATGACAACAAAAAAGGAAATAAAAAATAAACCCAACAAGCTACAGACTTTTAAGTAATTGTATTCATAAATTTGAGAAAATTAAATTTAATTCATAATTCATTAAGTTGTTTTGAACATTATTATCATTTTATCTTATCTTTTTTTTCTAAAGCTATTTATATAGAAAACATACATATGATTTATTGGTTCATTTGAATATAAATATATTAAGAAAATCATGTTTTAAATAGAATTTGTGTAATTAATGTTAGTTGCATTAGCTTTTTTTGTGAATAAATCTTGGTTTCAAATTAAAAAAAATTATACATCTTATTACGTTAATTTAAATAAATCATTGGTTATGCTTTGCTCTTACAGCAGTAAAACATATTTTTGAAGCTGCAATATGTGTGAAATATTCAATTGAATTATTGCAAATAAAATCCATAACTTTAAGAACCCTACCTATAAAAGATAATATTATTGCCTGAACTTGCCATAACTTAACTTGAGAGCTATTGAGGGTAGACTGTATATAAAGCTTCAATCCTCAAACGCTGTCATTTTATTTAAAAGGGTATTCCCAGTGTGTTGCGTGTCATTCACGAATATGGTGTGTATAGGCCTAAGGTCGCGGTCAGGAGACACATAAATAGAGAGACGGAGATGGACACTAACACTCGGAATGTTCGCAAATAATGCAGACCATTACATTAATGACTGCGGCAAAAAAGTCGAAAAAGCGCCAAAAACGTCCGCTGAGAAGAAAAAAAAATAGCAGGGAAAAACAATGAATAGAAACCAAGCAAAGGAGAAAAGCCAGCGAGAAAATCGAAACATTATGAGGTCATTTTAATTATTTATGTGTGCGTGTGGCTAAGGCCAGTCCAGAGGCACCGGACTAGACTTTGGCCAAGGTTACGGCTCCACTTCAAAAAGGACCTCCGCTTGAGATTCCATTTTATTTTTACAATTATGTTTGCCGAGAACTCTTTAAGCGGC